ACCGATCTATCCTGACAACAACCAGGATCATCGTACTCTGACAGTGGCCGTTTTCCTGGTCCTAATGTTTAACCTTGAAGCATCGATCCTTTTGAGGCTTCATGAAAAAATTTGGACATTTTCCAGCCACCTTGTCTGCGGAACATTTTCAGGGTATGAAAACATCCATCGAATGAATAGTGAAAAAGATCTTGGTGATGACTGATCTGAGAGTGCTATCTGAGGAAATCATGAATCGACGCTTGTTGTGGTTTGATAAAGTTACTCAGGGAAACCTGTTCAGAGCCATTATCTTCTGAGAAGCAGAGTGGTCGCAGACGAGTCAACACCGCACCCTAAAACAGCTATGTACGACAGGGAATATGACTTTTGCCGAAGCAAACAGCCTCACCTAAATCATTTTCGGAAGCCAAAGGCACCAGACATCACTAATCTAGGTACTTGATCTGTGACCGTGATACCTCAGATGAAGATGACAAACAACTACTAGTAGTACTAGTACCTAGTAGTACTAGTACCAGTCTACAGTAGAATTACTTCTAGTAGTTATGGTAGTAGTCGTACTACTAGTAGTACTGTCATTAGTCTAGTAGTACTACTACTGCTATTACTACTAGTTGTACTACTATCATTACTACTAATAGTATTTGTAAAAGTAGTATGAATACCAGTACCAGGTAATATTAGTACTAATACTACTACTAGTACTAATAGTAGTAATGGCAGTGCTGTCATTAGTCTAGTAGTACTACTATTGCTATTACTACTAGTTGTACTACTATCATTACTACTAATAATATTTGTAAAAGTAGTATGAATACCAGTACCAGGTAATATTAGTCCTAATACTACTACTAGTACTAATAGTAGTAATGGCCGTGTTGCTCGTATTGATATCATTACCTTAGTAGTAGTAGTGGTACTGATACTACTGCGATTCCTATTCTTAATGCTGCTACCCTCACTACTTGTAGTACCACTACTACCCATAATGGATCAACGTTATGCTGTAGCGTGAACACGTCATAGCGTGCGAAACGTATAGTCATGTCATCTGATTCATGTGCTTTGCGGTTGTTCACGTTCAGCCAACTGGCTGAAAGCCAGTTGTAATTCATAAAAAATAATCTTGCGACCTTTTAGCTTGGTTATTCGGGCAAATGATTTCGTTCATGCTCTGTTTAGCTTTATTTGACAAAAATATTAACTTGCAGTAATAAATGTATCAAATTTGTATTTAGTAGAAAAATGGTGTGCTATTTTTCAGATGTGTGAGTTTCTTGAGGGACTACGAACAAAGCATTGTCAGTGGCTGAAACTATCGAAATGCGACAATCGATTAAAGCAACGACTTTGGATTAAGCTCATTTCCTGGACCGTTACGATATTGATTCATGCGACTCGCAGCTGTTTCTACATTACCGATGACGGAGCGTGTCATCACAAGCTTCTGTTTTACCGGAAGC